GTCCCCGACATATATCCGGATATTCTTGGCGAATAGAAGTAAAAACAAACATTTAAAAAAGAAATTCTTGTAGACCTTGTGGAATTTAAATATGGAAGGCTTAAATCCATTTCTACGGACTGTAGTACCTTAATAAATGTTAAAGTAAATGAGGGTAGCTAATATAAATAATCTAAATGTCATTGGATGTTCTAGGGTGTGTAATTGTTGAGAGGATACGTTGGAGAACATTCTCTCATAGTCATAGTTCAAGTAGTGTTAATTAAGCAAGAATGTAATTAGTAAATGAGATAATTGGGGAACAAGTAATGTTAAATGCTATTAACATGACATACAAGTAATAATTACAAATGGTTGTAGAATTGGAAATAGTTTATCCGCATTTCAATTTAATTCTAACGTTATTTCCACTGCAAAAAAATAATATTAAGCTGCGCTTAATATCATTCTGATGATAATACAAAGGATGCACACGGGGTGTTACACACACCAAGATAGTGTCAATGACACCATGTAACATCCTTTATATCTAACTAGTATAGAGAATAACACATTATTTCTTTAACCATACCTCAACAATAAGAACAATTACATATAGAATATAAACATAGATAACAACTTTCTAAGTTACTTTATACATGGTACCAAGTTAAGTACATATATTTTACATTCAAACTATTTTACATCAGTTTCTACTTCCTAGCTATATTACATCAGACAAGTACATATATTACATTTCAACTACTAAAGTCACAAGCCATACACTAATTCAACTTCATCTAATCTACTTGATATATATAGGTTTCTACTCTGTCTTGATAAAATACAGCAACAACTTCCTGATTCCCCACAACAATATAAAATTCAGAACGGTCTTCAAAGAAATAGATGGATATTCCCCATCTTTGACCAGTGAAACACATGTTAGGCATGATGATTCTCTGGAAAGGTTAGCAAAAAACAAAACACACGTGAGAAAATCTCAGTAATATTGAGGGTTTTTTTTTTAACTATAACCATTCCAGCTGTAATAACCGAAAATCTTATTCTCTTAAATAGTTTCATAAAATGAAGTAATATCACAAGAAACAATAAATAGTAAATTATGTAATATTTAACTAAAATTAATTAAATGCCCAATTTTGTGGGTCTCTACATGTGAAAAGTTCTATATGGCGGAGCTCAAGCCAAGTAAGGCGTCCCTTACAGTATTATCATCTGAACTCAAATCTTTGTGGTTCAGTTCACATGAGAATTTTACAGTTAAAATTTACATATTTTATTAACATTCATTTGGTACCAAAATAATTAATGATTTTATAACCAAAATCATAGAAATAAAATTATAAGATAAAACTAAAGATAAAAATAAAATAAAATAAAGTCAAGTAGAAAAGAACTCAAGAAGAATTTGACAGGGTAGTATTACCATTGTATAAAAATTCAACCTCAAACTATAAAGAAGAAAAATCAAAGAATAAGTTAATCCATCAACATTACCTCTCTTTTTTTTCCTCTACGTTCTTGTCGTTCTTCTCAACTCCTTAAGTCTCTGTTTCTTTCTTCTTCTTTGTTTTTACTTTTACATGATGAAGGAAGGTGGTTAAACATATAACTATATATATAGTCGCTAGTTTCTATCTTTCCTCTTTATTTTATTTGTTTTTTGTTTTTTTTCTAAACAAAATCTTATTAGAATCTAAATGATGACTTAAACAATCAGAATATCTTTGATGCTTATCAAATGTGGCTTGGAGGGGGTTGTTCCACATGGCCCTCTCCTTGCCAAGTTATTATATTTTTTTATTTTTTTATTTATATATATATATATATATTCTATTCTATTCTATTATATTATGTTAATTGTTTATTAATACTTTAATATCTATATTTATTCTTATTATTTTATTTTGTTAGGATATATATTATTTTGTTTTATATATATATAGGGAAAAGTGTGTGTCATTTTAAAGGATGTAAAGTTGTGTCATTTTAAGAGAGAGAAAGAGATAGATAAAGGAGGAGAGAGAGTTGACAAAAAAAAATAAAGGCGTGAGTCCCAACTCTTTGTGAGAGTGAAAGGATATAAGTTGTATCATTTAAAAGGATAAACATTTTTTCCATATATATATATATATATATATATAAATATATGTTTATTTATTCATTTATTTTTATTTCATTCTATTATTATATTTGTGTAACAAAAAAATGTTTATAAAATGTGATATTGCATATAAAGAGATTATACATGTATATAACTGATTGTCAATTAAATATATTTAGCATGTTGTCCATTACATTATGTTAAAAGTACCATATAATATACTCATATATCTTTAATATGTATTACATCGTTAAATGCTAAAAATATTTATTGATAAATTTATAATATATTATTTATATAAAGTAAAATTTTGCATACATACAATACACATGACTGTAAACTTATATAAAATGTTCATACTTTATTATAGATTTACGTAAGTATCCATGTAAATTGAACTGATTATATATATTTTATAATACTATCAGTTATATCTTATTTTATACAATAATTAAACTTTATTATTACAATATTATTATTTGGATATTACATTTTCTCTCTCCTAATAAATTTTTGACCTCAAAATTAGACATACCTCATAAAACTTCTTTTTCCCATGTAGCTTCTTGTGGTGAATGTCCTTCCCAACGCACTTTAATTAATGGAATCATCCTATTTCTTAGTTGCTTTAGACTTTTATCAATGATTTGAGCAGGTCTGGTCTTAATAGTCAGATTCTCTTTAACTTGTACTGAATCTATATCAAGAATGTGAGAGGGATCTGGGACATACTTTTTAAGCTGAGAAACATGAAAAACACTATGGAGATTGGAAAGATGAGGTAGAAAAGCAAGTTAGTAAGCAACTGACCCTATTTTTTAGAGTATTTGAAACGGACCAATATACCTAGGACTCAATTTTCTAACTTTGAGGGTTCTGCCTACACCAGTGGTAGGAGAGAGTTTAAGAAAGACATGTTCTCCTTCTTCGAAAGACAAAGGTTTTTGCCTGTTATCAACATAATTTTTCTGTCTGCTTTGCGCTTTTTCAAGGTTTTCTTTTTTCATATGAATTTTTCTTGAGGTTTCTTGGATTACTTCTGGTCCCAACAACTGTTTTTTCCTTTTTTTCATACCAACACACTGGAGATTTACATTTTCTTCCATAGAGTGCCTCATATGGAGCCATCCCAATACTAGAATGGTAACTATTATTATAAGCAAACTCTATTAATGGCAGGTATCTACCCCAGCTACCTCTTTGTTCAAGGATGAAAGCTCTTAGCATATCCTCTAAAGTTTGAATAGTTCTCACAGTTTGACCATCAGTTTGAGGATGATATGTTGTACTAAGTCTCAACTTAGTTCCAAAGGCTTGCTGTAAACATCCCCAAAATCTAGAAGTAAATCTATGGTCTCTATCTGACACAATACTTAGAGGTACCCCATGAAGCTTGACAATTTCTTTTATATATAGTTAGGCTAACCTCTCAATAGAATATTGAACCCTAATTGGTAGAAAATGAGCAGATTTGGTCAATCGATCAATGATTACCCAAATTGCAACATACCCCTCTTGGGTTCTTGGCAAACCCATCACAAAATCAGTAGCTACATTTTTCCACTTCCATTCTAGTATGTTTAATGATTGAAGTAATCCTGAAGGCTTTTGATGTTCAATTTTCACTTTTTGACAAACTAGACATTTTGAAACATACTCAGCAATATCCTTTTTCATTACTGACCACCAAAATATTTTTTTTAAATATTGATACATTTTGGTGGAACTAGGGTGAACTGTGAACTTACTGCTATGTGCCTCATTCAAAACTTCTTTCATCAATTCTTCCTTTTTAGGTACAACAATCCTTCCTTTGAAATTTTACCAACCCATCTTCCCCTTTGGTAAATCCTTCCTGTTTAAATGTTTTTTCTAAACTAGAATCTTCCTGTTAAGCTTTTCTAATTTTATCTATTAGCTCATTATCTACTTTTATTTCACTAATACCTAAACTTCGAGGCAATACAGTCACGGATAATTTCATATCTCTAAATTTTTCAAACAACTCCATTTCTTTGATCATCAAATTTGACATGTGTAAAGATTTTCTACTTAAAATTAGTTTTTCCTAGATGTATTTAAGTTCAAAATCATAGTCTTTCAAAAATTTCATCCACCTCTTTTGCCTCATATTCAATTTTTTTTTGGTCAAATAAATATTTAAGACTCTTATGATCACTAAAAATCTCAAATTTTATTCCACACAAATAATCTATGTAGCACCGATACGACACGCGACACGTGACACGATACGACACTCTGACACGTTAATCTTAAAAAATTATGGATTTCGACACGTTGGGACACGATTTAATATTAAATAATATTTTTAATTTATATAGTGTATATTTCATTTAATATTTAATAATTTAACAAAAAAATGAAACTAAATTAATAATACCCATCAACACGTTATAAAGATGGAAACTTAATAAAAAAAATAAGATCTGGGATGTGAAAGAGATATAATATCAGATAGAGAGATCAAATCATATTAGAGAGAGATCAGAGAGAAGGAGATAGAACAAGAGCGTGATAGGAATTGACAACAATGATGCTGAGATGATCTCTTATCTACTTAAGGGAAAAAAAGACAAAAAAATAAAATTGATATGATCAGGTGGAAACATTATTAATATATTTTAATTTTTAAAAAAAAATTAAATTTTTTTTTTAAACAATTTCTAAAAAAATTTACAAAAATGTCATTTGACCGTGTCGGACACGGTCAAATTCGCGTGTCGGAATGATCAACGTGTCGAAAAAAGTTGACCGCGTGTCCGACACCGTGTCGAAGCGTGTCGGACATGACTCTCCCTGTTTTTACAAGTGTCCATGCTTCCTTGCAAATAATGTCTCCAAATTTTAAGTGCAAAAACTACTGCAACTAATTCTAAATCATGAGTTGGATAAACTCCTCACAAGGTCTCAATTGTCTTGATGCATAAGCTACAAGTTTTCCTTCTTGCAATAAGGCACATCCTAATCCCTTCCTAAATGCATCACTATAAACTTCAATTTTTCCTAATGGATCAGGCATTGTTAAAATTGGTGCAGATGTTAACTTATTCTTCAAATCCTGAAAATAATACTCACATTCTTGAGTCCATACAAAAGGAATTTCTTTTCTAGTCAACCTAGTTAAAGGTAACATTAATTGTGAAAATCGCTTAATAAATTTCCTATAGTATCCTGCCAATCCTAAGAAACTCCTGATCTCAGTGATAGTCTTAGGTCTCTCCCAATGCATTACAGCCTCAATTTTGCTAGGATCAACTGACACTTCTTCCTTTGATATCACATGTCCTAAAAATTTCACTTCTTCCATCCAGAATTCACATTTTGAAAATTTAGCATACAATTGGTTATCTTTTAAGATTTGTAAAACTATCCTCAGATGCTCTTTATGTTCTTTTTCATTCTTAGAATATATTAAAATATCATCAATAAATACCACTACAAATTGATCCAAATAAGGCCTAAAAATCCTGTTCATGTAATCTGTAACACCCCGTATATATCCGGTAATGTTATCATATCATCGTATTAAGCTGCGCTTAATTAAAAATGCGGAATATCTTTTTCTTTTCAATTATGACGTCATTATACTTAGCCAAGTTGAATACTTAATTCATTTTCAAAACATTTCCTGTATGTAAATTGCAAAATACAGCTAACTGAAATACCTCATAACATAAATAACATAAGTATGTCTCTAGTCACGGAACTACAACACATAGACCGGACAACCCTGATAGTTTATACAACCCAGTTAAACTTAAACATAACAGAAATCAAAGTGGCATGGACAGACCCCATGCTCACCCAAATAAGGCACAAGCTCAACTGCAGTCTCAACACAATAATCATAAATGACAGAAAACATAAACAACAACCAAGTCTACAACACCCAGCATACAACATAATAACATGATAACAACATAATCTAACTCAGCTCCGGCCTCTTACCGCCCGAGGTCTCAATCCCCGAGTTACCTGAACCTGAAATAAGCGTCCCCAAACGTGGGGTGAGATCTCTAAACAAGAAATATCAGTAAGACAAAGGGTCCTCAAGGATCTTCCACCCCAAGCTCACTTACATGTGCAATATAAGTTCAAAAGTAGTTTAACAATATAATTTCCAAAATAGTGCAATGCAGCATATAATCATGTCATGTGTGTTTATACTATTCTACTGATCAGAGAGTGTAAGAATCCATCTAAACCCACACGGTACTAGCCATTCGCTGCTCCAACCCACAGGACCGCCCATTGGCCTCCTGTAGGCGTAACACCACATACATATCATAAGCAATTGCACTTAACAGCTCATTAGCATTTCAGTAAAAACAATACATGAAAACACATCATGCATACAACCAACTCCCCATGGGAAAATGGTAGAACCAGCACTGGCTAAACCGAGGACATGAAAGCTTACCTTGTAAGCTAGCTATCCAAACCCAGAGTCCACACAAGCTCAAAGCCCAAAACACAGCAGATTCATAATCTGTTTCGGATCAACAATATATCAATATCCACACTCTACAAGCATACAACATAAACACAACGCATTTCCTTTACGTTTTACTTCTTTAGGCTTCTCACAAAGCCACAAGCCCTTAATCACTTAGATTTTGACTTAGACTAATCATTACAGAAGTTCAACTTCCTCAAACTAGGGTCCACAAACCCCCAATAACCTTCTGAATAAACAGTGCAGCTACTGTTCTTCGAAAACCCAGAATATCCGGATATATGTTGGGGGCATATCCGGATATCACAAGACCCCATATTTGGATATCAATATCCGGATATCATATCCGGATATTTCGCGACAGAATGGAGTTCTGCATTTCGCGAGATATCCTTCCCAAAGATAGTTCTTTTCATGCATACAAAGGCTCAAACATGCGATTTAAGGCATGTTTAGCATTACCCAACCTTAAGTTATCAACTTTAATCTATTACATGCATCAAGGTTCCATTTTTAACCACTAAAACCCATGATCAAAGGTGATGAAGCTTACCCAAGCTTAAACTCAGAAAATGGACACTCTTGGAGCTCACTAAACTGACTCAAAGGTTCAGACTTTGAAGGTGCACGAAAATGAGAAGCAAACAAGGTTCTTTATCACTAAATGTGGCTCCTTGAAGCTCAACAAACAAGGAACAATGGCTTCAACCACTCAAACCACTGAACTCAGCTCTCAACACTCACAAGCAGTGGCTGAGCACTCAGAAAAAGGTACCTCTCAACCTCACAAGACTCTCCACTATGTGTTTGATGAAGAAACCAAGAAGAAAGGTGACTTCTTGGCTCTCAAGGTGAGGAGGAAGAAGAACACAGCAAAGGGAGAAGCACTCAGCAACTGAGCACTCACGTAGGAAGCCAATATGGCCTAGGATTTTGTGCAAAAGGAGTATTTATAGCACATTTAATTTTAAACATACTGTATTAGCTCTAATAGCTACGCTTGGCATTTTAATCCCAACCTTTGGAATCTGATCCTACTCATTTTTCTAAGATTTATCATATTTTTATATTATTTTTCGTAGCACCTTTCCGGTAGGCGCTTTTCCATAGCCAGTATCAATTCTGACACCAGTTCTCATTATTTTGACCTGAAACTTGTTTTACAAGTTCGATTTAATATTCTAGGAATATTCATGCACTTTTTTATAATTTTCCGGGATACTTCATCGGTAAGCATTTATACAGGTAGCGGAACCGGTATCTGCACTTTTCGTCCAAAAAGCGACTTTCAGCATTCTTAATCACTTTCTATATTTATTTAAGCCTTCTCATAATTATTAGAGTCAATTATGAAATTATTTCTTAATTCTCATATTTATATAATTAATTTCCTTAATTAACGGTGCGGGTTCTTACATAATCCATAAATACAGCTGGAGCATTTGTCAACCCAAAAGGCATAACTAAATACTTATAGTGTCCAAACCTAGTTCTAAAGGTTGTCTTTGGAATATCTTCAGTCTTAATCCTGATTTGATGATATCCTGACCTTAAATCTATTTTAGAAAACATTGTGGCTCCTCTCAATTGATCTAAAAGATCATCTATCCTAGGCAAAGGATATTTATTTTTAATGGTGACCTTGTTCAATTGCCTATAATTTACACACAGCCTCATACTTCCATCCTTTTTCTTGACAAAGAGCATTGGTGCTGCCCAAGGTGAAACACTAGGCCTGATGAATTGTTTTGATAAAAGTTCCTGTAATTGTTTATTTAATTCAACAAGCTCTATAGGTGAAATCCTATAAGGCGCAATAGAAATTGGACCTACTCCAGGTATCAGATCAATAGAGAATTCAATTTCTCTGTTTGGGGGTAAACCTGGAATATCATTCAGAAAAACCTTTGAGTATTCAGAGACAACAGGAATATTGGCTGCATCAAGTTTAACCTTTGCTTCTGAAAGATTAAAGAGAATATATCCTTGTGCTCCCTCTAACAAACTCTTCCTAAGTTGAGAAGTTGACAAAAATAGAGACTCATTGGGAAGTTCCGACTCTTTTATGAAAACTATCTTTTTATTTTGACAATCAATCATAACACCATTGGCAGATAACAAATTCATACCAAGAACAACATCTATGTCAGTCATAGGTAGATAAACTAAATCTATTTCAAATAATCTTCCTTCAATTCGAAGAGGACAATTTCTACAGATTTGAGAAGTGGTTATTCTTTCTCCAGTGGGAAGAAAGATTTTAAGATAAGAAAGTAAAATAGAAATTTGTAATTTTAACTTTTGAACAGAAGATAGGGAGATGAAAGAATGAGTAGCCCCAGAATCAAATAGTACAGTTATAAGAGAATCTTGTATTAGACCCGTACCCTGAAACAAATTTGAAGCTTGAGCCGCTTCCTGACTGTTTAGAGTGAAAACTCTTCCTCTTGCTGCAAGTTGATTGAATGAATTTTGACCTTGATTCTGAGGACATTGCCTCAACATATGTTCAGGCTTTCCACACTTAAAGCACACACCTTTTCCTGCCAAGCATTCTCCAGTACGAGTCTTCTTGAATTTTGGGCATATCTGAATATAAGAATTAATTCAACCTGCATTCTTCTTTCCTCCATTGCCAGCAAAATTATTTCCCGAGTTTTGTGCCCGTGGTAACCTTCTTTTGTTGTTGTCTTCATTCCTTCTCCGACTTGAAATTTTGTCTTTATTTCTTTCCTCTTCAGCTTCCTTCATACTTGCTTCAATGTCTTTGCACCTATTTATTAATGATGAAAAATCCCTGATTTGGGGCCCTATTACCATACTTTTTAGTTCATATTTTAATCAATATTCAAATTTAGTTGTCAACCACTCCTCATTAGGTTGATTCTATACATAATTAGAATATCTGGATAGTTCCTTAAATTTTGCCACATATTCACCAATAGTCATATTTCCTTGTTTCAATTCAAGGAATTCTATTTCTCTCCTATTTTTTTACATTTTGAGGAAAATATTTTTCCAAAAAGGCATTTTTAAAGGCTGTCCAAGTAATCTTCATTCCTTGACTTTGAAAATATCTTTTGGTATTTGTCCACCAATGTTATGCTTCTCCAATCAATAGGTATGTGGGAAAATTTGCACGATGAGTATTACTGGTGTAATATATGCTACGAAAAAGTTTGTCCTTCCTCTGGCCCAGAACTACCCCAATAGCATGATCACTTGCATCGCACATTAATTCAAAGGGTAAGTTCCAGTCTGGAGGTTGGATGACAAGCGTGGTAATGAGCTTATTTTTCAAAGATTCAAAAGTTTTCACACAGTCAGAGTTAAACTCAAATTTTATATCTTTTTCTAATAAGTGGCATAAAGGTCTAGCTATTTTGGAAAAATCTTTAACAATCCTTCTGTAAAAGCCTGCATTCCCTAAAAAGGATCTCAAGGTTTTTACACTTACTGGTGGTGGCATTTTTGCTATAGCTTCTACTTTGGCTTGATCCACTTCCAGTCCTTCTCTAGAAATTTTGTATCCCATGACTATTCCTTCTTTCACCATGAAGTGGCATTTTTCCCAATTAAGCACTAGATTAGAGGACAGACACCTTTGAAGGACTTCTTTTAAATTGTCTAAGCACTGATCATATGACGTCCCCAGTATTGAAAAATCATCCATAAAGACTTCTACTCCTTCACCTATTAGATCGGAAAAGATTGAGAACATACACCTCTGGAACGTTGCTGGTGCATTACATAACCCAAAGGGCATCCTTCTGAAAGCGAACGTTTCATATGGGCAAGTGAAGGTGGTTTTATGTTGATCTTCTGGTGCCAAAGCAATTTGATTATATCCC